TCTGAGAATTTCGACATGTACCAATATATCATATGTCACTAGAACACAAAATCAATTTGTATTTGTTTTTTATTAAAATATTCTGTCACCCGTCTTTTCAACATTCTCGTCGACTCATTAACCAGCATAACTTCATCAATTTGTTTGATCTTTATCCATTATTACCACTATCATCAGAAACATAATGAAAAATTCGGTCAAGTAGCTCTATAGTTTTTTTTAAAGAAGTGGCCAATGGTAGTTTAAAATATGTAACGTGGTAATACGAATGATAATTTCATCAAACATGACGATTATGGCAATAATTATAATTTGCAACGTTCGACTTCACCACTTACGGTGTTTCTGTAAAAAAGCTTTTTTTTGTCTGCTCTACTAGCGAAAATCAACTTTTTAATGCTGAATCGCAAGTGGGCTGGATCTGTCACTAGTCCTAATTCAAGAAGCATATTTTTTCAGCTAATCATCTCCAACAATACGTGCTCGTTTTCCGCCTTGATTTTGTATCATAGATCAGTGGCGTAGCTAGGATTTTTTTAAGGAAGGATCCCAACATTTTTTTAGGGAGGATTAGAGTAAAAGAAGACTAAACAGACACATGTCGCTTATAGCTGATATTTTATTCTATTATTTCCAGTACAAGTTAACTTTCTAAGGAAGGGCCTGTGCCTCCTAGGCCCCTCCCTTGGCTACGCCACTGTCATAGATATAATACTTCGAATATGCTTCTATGTAATAGAATGCAATATAATCAATACGAATATTACCGTTCGATTAAAATACGGCAACTGAGAATATGACAAACGACTATCATGTGCCGAAATGATTTCAACCAAACAATTTATGGAATATGCTATGATTCCATCAAATCCAATTATATTAGATTCAAGATGTTTAAAAACTGCTAACTAATTCATCGACTATTAACAATGTGATTAAACCGTTTTCGAGCAAGATGCAGTTTCATAACTCAAACAAAACAAATCAGCTTTCGTTGACGTCCAGATAACAACCGACAGAAAACGCAGCTGAGAAAGTCTTATTCACGGCAGAAAATAGCCCATAGAAAACTCGAAATAAATAAGAAATGTGAAGGAGAACTAGAAATTTTACCTCTGTTTAGCAAGATCCTCAACGAGAATCACAAATGATTGCAACTACTGGCTTAAAAACGCCAAGTTAAGCGAAAAGTCCTACACACGCAGTTACAGCTTATAAAAATATCAAAAGCTGTACGACTGTAAGAAAATGAATTGTCTGTTCATTGTCTAATATCTACATCATTGTTAGAAAATAAAAGAGTTTTCCTCATTCCTTTCAATTTTAGCGTCAGAATATTAGCTGATAAAACTGTAACATGAACGAAACAAAAACAAGATAAAAGAGAAAGCAGCCTCAGAAGTAAAAACTGACTTTGAGAAATATGACACAAGTCAACCCATATGTACAGTACGAACAAATAAATATTTTTCACACGTCGCTAAATAAAGTTAATATCCTAGCTTCACGCAAGAAATGATTTTGCGTTTTGATAGTTTAATTTTCAGAATGATATAATGGTGGGAATTTATATTCTCGATTTCGTTCTGATTCAGGATTACCGCTTAAAGCAAAGTTAATATAAGATAAAGATTGAAACAGTGCGCAGATTGAAATCAAAATTTTTGCTTGCTTTCAAACAACCTCTGTTTCCCTCCATTAATGAAGTACTTGTACCACTACGTTCCGCGTGCACTGTTATAGAGCGATATCTTACTTTGCAAATTTCCAATTCATATCGGATAATGTATGGTGCGATCAGTTGAAAATGTTTTTGCTAATGTGATTTTAGCCTTTTTTATAGCACAGTGTGTAATGAATCATTTTAATGCATTAATGCATACGATGTATGTTGACAGGAAATACAGAGAGCCGTATTTGGATTTTTATAAGTTGGTTGTCAAATGACAGAAAACCGGTGAACGAAAGATCTTATCATGCGGTAATCAATATACACATATCATATGTCATATGTACATATCGTAGTGAAGTAATAAAAATGTCAGAATTTTGATTTATTTATGCTAAAATTATTTGACGTTGTCAAAATAAAATGAAGTTTTGCTCTGAGTATTTACCATTTTCCACTAAACGATATATTTTTACGCAGATATGTGGTCTACATCATGCGAACCATTCGCAAGAAGAGGTCGATATAAACGCTTGACAGTATGACTTGGTGGTTATGTTGTTTGTCAAGTACTTCAAAAGTACTGTGTTCGAACCTCGGCGCCGGCAAAGTATAATAACCTTGGACAGGTGACTTATGTCTTGGTGCCTCGGATTACCTGTTCGGTAGCATACTCACTACCTTGTGACGTACAATGGACTTCTTCGGGCAGTCTTCGTGGCTTTCCGGAAAGGTAGTACGTGGTTAGTGAGTGTGCATGGGGGCTCAATTAGACAAAAGAACTGTGCATCATGCTAGCCTTCTGGCTAGAGCTGCAGTTTATGACTAGTAACAAGATGGATGACCATTTCAGAAGCTTGTTAACTGCAGGGAAGATATTGGACTAATGAAACTGCCATTCGACAGCGCCCCATACTGATAACGTTAGCCGCAAGGAGGGGCATTCTTCCTTCTAAGTGCTGATCCAAAAACTGTGTTCGTCTTACTTTCAGTGGTTAGATTACCAAAGTGTAAATTTAGTGGAGGTTTTTCCATTGACTGACGTATAGAGAGGATCATATTACAAGAGAGAATCACAAATATCTCCACTTTGTTAGGTGTTCATTGCTTTTTCGTCTGATCAAAGCACTTTTTGGCATTTGTTTCTTTTCTCTAGCACATAGTATATTCACTCCTTTTCTTTGAAACTCAACTGGAGATGCTAACGGTTTCCTTAACGCAAGTTGAAACTTTTGTAGGTTATATAGCAGATTTGCTTTAATGAATAGTTACGCATTTCAAAAGAATAACCTAATTTTTGGAAGATCATACTTAAGAAAAGATCGTGTGAAGTTAGACCAGCGGATGAATCAAACCTTTAAAGTAATTTTGTTTTCCTTGGATTTGTGCAGTTATTGTTGCCTTTTCTCAGTAGAAGTTATTTTCTATTTTAGAACAAAACAATGTCGTTGCCAGTAGACGAAATTTTGCCTATCTTATCAAAGTCGAACAAGACCCGCACTGATTTTGAACAGATAATTGATATCTGGCATGAATTTTTTACAAAAAAAGAAAATACATTATTGGAAAAAGCTCAACAATTAAACAACGAACAAAATCAATTAAATTCTAAAACAGAGCAATTTATGATTATTCAAAAACTGCTTTATGATATAGAAAAATCAAATAATGTATTTGCTACAGCGATCAATACACTTCGAAAATATAATGATGAGTTAGAAAATGATTCTGATAAATTAACTGATGAAAGTAAAAAATTTTTACCGAATCAAATGAAAACAGATGTAGATCGAACAGATACTTATGAATTAATGGAAAATGTTGATAAAGAAATCGAGAATGTCGGTGGTATTTTGAATAATTTGAATAAAACGTTAAATATAGATGAAGAACGGTCAATTGTTCAAGTAACATCGGATATTCAAACATGTTTTCAAGATATGAATGAAATTGGAGATAAAATGAAATTGATTAACCTAAATTCAAAATAACAAAATTTGTAATGCTGTTTTTTTTTATCAACGTTATCTGTACATAGTAAAATCTAGTTACACACGATTTTTCTCGAAAGAGTTGCCTTTCATTTTGACTACTTTATATTAGTGAAGTGTTGAAAAATATCTCATACGCACTTCTTAGCACAATGTTTATTGAGTAAGAGGTATTTTAATGTTCAGTTACATGCTCAATTACTTGCCATACTAGTACAATAAGATAGAGTATAAATGTAACGTATTTTTTGTTTGAATTAGAAAGTGACTGTTTTTTCTTCTTCTACACATTGAATTCATTAACTGTTTGGATGCATACTTTAAGTATGAAGATGTGATTTTGTTACTTTAGTATGAGCAGTGGTTTTGCAATGAAATGCGCACTGTTGTTCTTATTAGTTTTATAATCCCTAAATATGGCAAGCAGTTACGGAATATTTGCTTTTAGATGACTTTTCCTCAAATGACAGCGCTTTCTAGTACAATTCCAACAGCAACCGTTGCATCTATTTTCCCGTTGTCAACAACAACTTCGTCAGCTATAACCAGTATACCAACAACAAGTACTAGTATTCTTACAACATCAACAGCGGCTGCAGCAACTGCACCTAAACCAGTTCGTACATTCCGCGATTTTGAACGTTTATTAACAAAATGGCAACAAGACTTTGATGTTAAACATCGTATGGTCTATGATGATTTAGCACAATCAATTCGTCAACGAGACATTGATTTATCTCAGTATCGTGAAACATTACAATTATTACAACGAGGTGTTAATCGGATGACAACTCATCAGTCACATTTACAAGAAGATTTAAAATTATTAGATACCCATGAAAAAGAGTTGGAATCAAATATAAGTAAGTTAGAATCAGATATACAGTTATTACCACCGATCTATTCGTCTTATCAACAATTGACGCCATTTGGTTCATCAACAACATTGACAGAACGAATGAAAAATTTTGAAATGTTAGAAAATATGGATGGTCTTGTTAAACGATCAATCAAAGATTTAAATGATATCGTAGAAAAAATGGATGAGGATGAGAATATTGATGATATGAACGACGATATTGAACAGCATACAAACGTTACAGCTACTACAGATAGCAGCACCAAGTCAACGGTGGGAAATAATGAACAAAGTGTGAAACAAGTAACAAAAACATTAAATTCATGTTTCAAAATGTTGAATTTTATTGAAAAAAACGTACAAGATATTGAACTAAAAGTTTCACAAACGAATCGATTAATGTCATGATCAGTGTCTTTTCTTCTATTTTTGTTATTGCTGCTATCTTTCATTCTCTTTATTAATTAAGAGCTAAAAAAAACATCCATTCTTAAAGCACTTTCGTCGTCGTGCATGTTTATTGAAACTGGGATAGTTACTGCTGTGAATATGGAATTTCTTTCACTAAAGTTTTGAAAAGTAGGATTTATTTATTACAGTCTAGAATAGAAGTCAATTACAGTGTCTGAAGTTGGTCAGAAGTAAAACGTGTTGTAGATGACTGAAAGCAAATTGAGTTACAGATTACATCGTGAGTTTCAATAACATGCAAAATTTGATAACTAATGATAACGAGCACTATTATCTTTCATAGACGACGAGTGAAAGAGCAGAAATGATTTCGTCTTACATTTATAACTTTAGCTAATTAATACATAGTGAGCATGTATTGAACGAGATACCGCCGACTATTTAGTCAAAAGTTACATTCATCGCAAATTAATCATTATTCTAAAATTTTATTCTTTACTATTACCAATTAAAACTCTAATTGATTTTGGTATGTTCGATTATCTTTTGTGCTCGACTGTATGCATAAAAAGTTTTCTTGTCTCTTCTTCACAGTAATTAATAAATATTCTAATCATAGTAATTTTTAAGTAAACTAAATTACTTGAAATACCAAGCTCTAAATTAGTTCATTCGTGGTACTTTTATTTTTCTCCACTCTGGAATAGATGGTGGATTTTTTTCATTTAATTTCTTTATTGTGTATCTAACATCTAACAAACCACTATCTGTGCTTTTTTTCGAGAAGTCAACTCTTCAGTCGCATATATAATTTTCGAATTGTCTAGTTGCAAACCAATGAAGATGAATAAATCGAAGTAGTAATGACTCATTTGTTCTATTTACATGTACAACTTCAAAGGCAATAGTATCACTCCCATGGTACAACAGTTATACAAGAGAAATTTAGTCGTTCGTTTATTTGTTGTTCTGACGAGCCTTGCCACGAATAGGCACGATTAAGCTCGCGTGAACACGTATGTATATCTAATTAAGCGTAATCTAACTGATATTAAATAAGTTTTTGAAAAAAAGTATTAGAAAAACCTAATTATTGTTCAGTCTTTCAATTGAAAAACCGTCTAAATATTGACCACAATGTCAGCTTTAATAGGGATAATCCTGGTGGAGGAACTAGTCACAAAAAGCGGAAAACATCTACGCAAAATGATAATGAACCAAAAAATCAGGGAATGATCACGTTTAACGCACAACAACAACGACAAACGCCACAATTCAAATCAACGTCCAAATCAGCACCACTCATTGTACAAGGTATCAAATTTACAAGATTTCAACTAAGCAAATTCATCAAATTACGAATGTCAGACGTCAGATTATCCGATATACAATCGAACAGAAACGCAAAATTTACAATTTTTGCTAGTGATGCTAAAAGTTATAATAGAATACTGTTAGATTTGACGAAAGAAAAATTTAATGGTACAACTAATACAATTACGTAAAAGTGTTTATTCTACGTGCGATTCAGAAAGTGATTGTTACAGACAAACAAGCATTTTTGAAGCACGTCGACATTGAAATACCAACTGCAGAGATCCTACAAACAGCTGGCTTTCAGATCGAAAAACTGGAAAGAATGAAAAATCATATTAGAGAACGCGACGGTACGACAGTTAAAGCGACATTTAACAATGGTTTTAATCGCAATACTATTGTTCGTACCGGATTAAAACTGGATCACATTAACATCACTGCCGAGCCAGCAAAATTCATTACAAAACCGGTTCAATGCTTTATTTATCTAGGCTGTGGACATATATTCGAATACTGCCGTGACAAACACCAAATCTGTGTCTGATGTACCGGTTCACATGACATAAAAGCCTGTAGTGGAACAGATGATCATATCCTGTGCAAAAATTATAATGCTCAACCTCTAGAACTGATCAAAAGTGAAGAACAAGTAAGAAAACTAAAACAATTAGTTGAAAGCTATTCATCGAAAGGTCAACATCATTCAGCCACTCCTAATTTTAATAATCAAAGTACATTTCCATAATTGAGCAGCAGAGAACAACATATTCCAGCTGCGTCAGCTGTCGAAACTGTTAAAGCTGTTTTTCAAAAAGTGACAGCTTTTCTACAGCCAATGTTAGATTAGATATTAGAGAATTCAGATTCTGAAGAAAAAATGAAAGCACCATCAACAACTCTTTTACTGTTATCACAAATCAAACATGATATATTACAATTTCAAACAGAAGAAGAGAAGATAACATTTTTGTAGATCAAGATGATAATGATGATGAGAAAAAGAGCGTCGAAACGGACGAACCAGCTACATCATCAAACGCCGATTTCGGTACAACGTCAAGTTCGCCAACCGCTACAAAATTGAGTATAACAACATGACGAGCGTCTACAAAAAAACTAAGTGTTACAGAGACTAAAACTCATTTAGTCAATTTGTTTTCACCATTTACAAACCGAAGACAAGGGAAGAAACAACAGCAACGATCATTAGCTCAAAAATTACAATACCAACAACAACAAAATATTCAGAATAGTGGTATCAATCAATTATTATATTAATGCGACTATGCCATATAAATCTTACATCAACCAAAAAACATCGTGAAGAGCTAGCTACTCGCTCGGTTTAGGGATTATGACATTTTACCGTTAAATGAAACCAATCTGGATCTGAAACAACACTTTGTATTACCGAACTTTCAAATTTTTAGACATGACAGATTAGAAATCAGAGGAGGAAGAGTAATTTTAGCGGTTCGGTTATTAATAAGAAGGACAAATTGAACGAAATCGTTGCCGTCCAAATAGAGAATCCAGGAAAGTTACCTCTTTTAGCCTCTATTTACGTTCCGCCAAGAATTAAAATTAATAAAGCTCTATCTGATGAATTATATCGCCTAAACCCGAACACATTAGTGCTCGAGGACATTAACGTGGCCGTATAACCGATGGGATCAAAGAAAACAAACAGTAAGGGGCGACAGCTCGCACTTTTATTAGAAGAGCACATCTTTTCTTGCATTGATGAAACTATAGTGACATACGAACGGAATGATTATCAGGAAAAATTAGATTGAATTTTAGCCACCACTCCTATTTATTTTTTCGTCAATAACGTTTAAGGTCATCCGCCCTTAGGCGTATTGAGCGGCCATAAACCGTTAACGTTTCATCTTACTCCTGATACAAAGCCGCTCTCACCACGTTTATCATTTAACTATAAAATAGCTAATTGGAAATATATAGAGAGCAATTGAACTTGCTACTATGTGAATGGAATGATTCAAGGTCTATAAGTACGCTCGCTGATTTAGAAGAGTACCACGAGTTCATTACAGCCTGTATCACAAACACAACGAAATCAGCTGTTCCTTCGTCTGACAAGAAAATTAATTTTACACTCAGCAAACCGACGATACGTCTGACCTCAGAAAAACATAGGCTATATAGACGTTGGAAAAAGTACAATGTGGAGCCACTATTGACTTTTGTCCACCACGTTTAGAATCCCTGGAAACATGTCTACGTTATTTTATTATTAAAACCAAAGAAAGAAAGGATGATCCAGCTACCTATCGTCCCATCAGTTTGCTGAGGTGTATAGATAAAATAATGGGAAAAGATAATGAAATTCAGATTAATGACAGTCTTAGACGACAGAAACATTCTATCTCAGCATCAGGCTGGGTTCAGATCACAAAAGCATCATGTACAATGTTTTGATCATGTTGTTTGGCACGATGGTCTAGTATACAAATTATTTTATCTGAAGCTGCTGGACTATATCACTCGTTAGATAATATCCTTTCTCAACGACAGAACAGCTACAATCGAACTGGAAAGCGTGTTATCGAACAAATTTGATTTAAGAAGTGGAATGCCTCAAAGATCCCTTTATCGCCACTTCTGTACATATTACATACTGCAGATTCAATGAGTGACATACCAGATCGTACTTAGCATGGCTTATTTGCTGAGGATACAGCGCTATGGACGACTTGTAACACCACATCGGGTCTAAACAAACCGCTGCGAGAATCGGTATCGCTTTTCAACTTTGGTGTCGATCTTGGAAACTAACGTTACAGTCAATCAAAACAGAAATTCTTCATTTCGGCGCGCACCCATGTAAAAAATACAAAAATCCCGTTGCAGTGACTGTTCGAACGACAACAGTACGGTCGCTACCGTATGCCAGGTATTTAGGATGATTTTTGATCAAACTCTTTAGTGGAAACATCACACAAACACAAGCTCACCCCCCCTCCCGATCAGAAACATAAATTTTTTTATAAAAGGTCGATATTGAAGTAAACAAATCATGAGACAGACCACAGTATCTACTATCAGGATCCAATGTTATTTGGTCCTCATCGAAGGGGTATGGAGGTTTTTAGAAAAGTTTTCTGAAAACCTTGAAAAGCTGACTTTTCGAAAAAAAATTTACTTTTCGATAAAAAAACAAATCTAAAAATATTTTCAATGACATCGGAAAATAGACAAGCATTTCTAATAAAAATGAGATATTTTCCAGCTCTGAATGATGTTCTGGTCAAAAGCTATGAGAGTTTTTTCGGAAGCCCTAAAACATGCATCAGATACTGGCGCCACCATATCTCGAAAGCGACTTTCATCTTACGACCGTTTCGTAGGTGCAAAATTTCTCGGTAAGTAAAGATCGCAGAGAGCTCGGGAAGGTCTTAAATAGAAGTTGATACATGTGGCTAGAGCCTAATAGAGCCCAATTTTTGATATTTAGGCTAGATCTGTGGTTAAAAAAATATCTTTACGCAAGTTAATGAAACTTTTTCGACTTTTGGACTTTTATCGTTGACCATTTATTTAAAAAGTAAAATATCAAAAATCCGACTCTATTAGCCCCTAGCCACATGTGTTTTCATCAACTTAAGACCAGTGAAGTCCGAGCTCTTCACAATGTTTCGTTACTGAGAAATTTTGGA